TGCCATTCTTGTACTAAAACTGACGATAGTCTTCATCTGAACAAAAAAAGAAAAAAAAAAATTCACTTGTCTGATAAGTTACACGGCGGTAGAGGCAATGAGTTATGCTAACTGTGACCATGATCTCATGTCTTATATAGAGTGCCACGTTACCCGTTGTGTTGCCACAAAACATCACCTATTTACGATGGGAAGGAGCATCATCCATAATCCATATGATGATTATACTATATTCATAGGAAAAAGGCAGGCAGGAAAGAGCCAATTATATACTTGCGCAAATGTATGTGTGTTTCCAAGTGCTGTTGCCATTCCAAATGACGATAGTCTTCATCTGAACAACACTTGTCTGACAAGTTACACGGCACGTGCCACGTTATTGCCACCTAGTCGAGCGGCGGCTAACCATATCGATATCGGCAGTGCAAACGATGATGTCACCTACTCCAACCAAGACGGTGTTTCAGATCATCAATATCAATAGACAACACCAACAAGCCCCGGCACTCCAAGGCACGGACGCCCCGCCGCCGAAAGCCCCAAGGTGACCGACGAGTATTGTGCGCGCGCCGCAAATCGCAGCGGGTCATGGCTCAGCTCGTGGTCGTGGCAATGGAGGCGGACGGGCGGTGGCAACCGGCGAAAAGCTGTCCAATAGTTTTGCGGACCACGCGGTGCCGGCGGTGCGCAATGGGCCTGCAGCAACCAGCAAGCCACGCAAGCACGGATGATGTCCCGCAAGGGAGTGCGGGCGGCGCTGATGCATGCGGTGCGTCATATCGCGTTGGGCGGTTCTGTGTGATACGTCGTCTTTGTATCCGTTTATAACTGACTTCTTTGTAATCATCATTGTAAAAGTCCCGTTCCGACAGCGTGCCCCCGTGAGTTGGCTCACACTGAAGAATAGTTGAAGGAGAGATGTCCCGCAACGGGGGCCCAGAACGAAGGTCAAGCACAACGCAGACCATTTTTATGTTCCAGATTTGTTCAGGGACGGCTAAGCGCGCGCCCACTCAGCTTGACCAGAACAAGGCCGGTCACCAGGGCTGTACCTCCGCACCCGCACTGAACCTGCCCGTCTAGAAGCTGCTGACCGGCGGAGGGTGCACCTCCGACTTCCAGTGTCAGGCCAGCCAGTTACGAATTTCTGGTGCCGCTGCTTGCCACTGTACCATATTCTGCCCACACCAATTGACCACTTCACCTCCCCCTCCCCATCCGATGCGCCAGCCCGCCCGGCCAACTAATGATCTGCGGCGACTTTCGTGGTTTCCTCCTGTCTAGGGGTGTCCCGCCGCTAATTTTCCTTCCGCGACGGCTATGTACGTCTGACCACAAGGTACCACGTGCCCATAGTGGCGTGGTTAGGTCTTCGCCATCATAATAAACCGTAGATTCCGGTTCGCTCGAATACAAAACCATGTACACAGTACATAGGGGCATATATTTCTATATAGCAAATCATCATATCACAACTTCAGACACTAGTAGAGTGTTTGATTTGAGTAATCAAACCTTATATGAGTTCATTTCTCAAATTTAGTGGAAGAGACTCTCAACATAACTAATTATTAGCTTGCGATGAATGAGGTGATGATACATCAACCTATTCCATTCCGCAAACTATTAAAAAAAAGTAAGGGTCTATTTAGAACAAAGAAAAAAAAATCCCTGTTCCTGTATTTTTTTCCTATAAATTTAAATTAATTCATGTGCAATTCATACATGATTATTGTGAATTTCATGCGTTCCAACTAAGCCCTAAAGAGTGAGAAGATGATGGACCTTCCTCAAACCAAACATCCTATAATAATATGAAGAATCTTACTATTACTAATAGTGGTGAGAGAAGGAAGAAATCAAGATATAGTTAAATATTTACGAGAAATTTTTTATTTGACACCGAAAGATAGATTTTTCCTTATATAGCATTGGTTATTTTTATGTCCAATATGAAATTGTAGGAAGATTTGTTGAGGGCTAAACAATATTTAATGGAGAACGTCCTTTTGACCTTCAGCAGTTAAGTATGAAGTGGTTACATGAGACTTGTTTGTCGTCAAAGTGACTTGACATGTACTTAGTCAGATTGTTAATTTAGACTATATATAGAATTAGATAACATGAGCAGCAAATAATACACTAAAATTGTTGATATATTTTTAAAAAAATATATATTTGTAGTCCAATTTACTGCCTTAGCTATCATTGCAGTCCCATTACCCTTTTACGGGTGATGTAGCAACATATAGGACGTCTAATGTGGTGCCATGTAAGCTAAAATTAGAAGTATACCCCGCGTGTTGTTGTGGAAATTACGGATTAGTGAATTGTGGAGTATGATGATGTGGAAAACAAAACGTGTATTGCCTGGTTGGACAGCTTGCATGTTGAGATAAATAGCTAGTGGGATATTGCTTAGTAGATTTTTTTTGGAACAATTGTTTAGTGGATTTTAATCATATGTGATAGTGCATTGGCTAGTTGGATAGCTTGTATGTTGAGATAAATAGCTAGTGAGGTTTTACTTTATAAGAGTATAAGATAAGATAAGATTAAAGTCTAAATTATCTATATGCAAAAACAAATGATTTTAAAAGTTGGTAAATGACCACTATCCCATTTTATTGACATTGAAGGAAAGTTGAACTTTAGAATAATTTAGCTGATAGAAACGGTGTTTTCTATTTGGATCTAATAAGAATCATTTAAATATACAGGAGAGAAGCAGGATCCTTTCGCTTAGTTTTTTTTTTTTAGAAAACACAGTATCGCTTTATTCATATATCATAGTATTCGGCATAGACTCCATTCAGAGGAAATAACAGCCAAACATGCTGTCCTACGGATTCATAAATGGCTAATCTATGAGTATCTAACATTCGAGCTCATGCTTTCATAGACGACATCCACTGACGTGAAGCTTGCCATTTCTACCTTGATCTCCCTGATGGTGTGGCCATAGGGGCTCATCCCAAGGCCACGCATATTCTTCACCACATCCGCAGTCAGTAGCAATCCTAACCTTCCGTAGCATGAGGTCATTTGCAAGAGCCAAAACTTCTCTGCAGGCCAGCCCTTCCGCCGTCTCGAGGTCTAAAACACCTTCCATCGCAACCGCAGATGCTCCCAGAAAAGTGTCCGCTTCGTTCCTTTGGCCTAGCTTACCAGGGAGAGGGTGCATACATGGGCCTAGAGGTGTTCACTTAGGTCGTATTTTCTGGGCCAGCCCACACTCCGGCTGGCACAAGAACGGCCCGGAGTAAAATCGTGACGATGTTGTTTTCTTTTTTTTTTTAAAACGGCATGCCGGTGTTGTCGATGGGCCATGGCCCATGGGCATCTTGAACGCTCCTATCTTAGGCGTCTTAGGCCCCGACACCGACAGGTACAGGCGTGAAATAGTAACGCATCCACAGACCACAGTTCCACAAACGTCGGAATAGAACAGTTCAAACTCACGTTAGGTTGCTCCAATCGTGGGGAGTACACCCTTCGTCATGCCCAAAGCTCCACTAGATATCCAAACAAACAAGTCGCCACTTGTGTTGTGAGCTGCAGCCCATCTGTCCCCGGACAAACTCTGCCTGTGTCCCTAGCGCTCGTTTCCCTCCTGCTTCTAGGCACAAAAACCATGTACTCTTGACGTTTCCTTGTGGAGCGATGCAGGCAGCTAACTCCTTGCTATAAATATGAAAGCTACTATCCAAACAAACGGATCGCCACTTGTGTTGTGAGCTGCAGCCCATCTGTCCCCGGATTTCAATCTGCCTGTGTCCCTAGCGCTCGTTTCCTCCTTAAATCTTCGCAGGCAAAAAAACATCTACTCTTGACGTTTCCTTGTGGAGCGATGCAGGCAGCTAACTCCTTGCTATAAATTGGGTTGCAATTGTAACTGAACGGTGTGCACTGGTCTGGTCAGCTGGACGATGCAACTGAGAGAGTTGATATCATGACTGGTTCTCAGACTCGTGGATGTAGTGGTGTGTTTGTGCAGGGTGGAGAAGCAGGACACGTGAGCGACCATCCAGAGTTTCACTCTCTGGCACGCTGCGGGCGCTGCCGTGCCCGTGCGTCGGATCGTCCGGCTTCCGGCTTGGGTTGGGTTGGTCGCTCATGTGTCCGTCCTCTCCACCGAGCACCGGCACATCCGATCCGTTTGTTTCTCCGTCGATCGGCCGAGCACCGGCGCAAAGCAGGGAGCCTCAATCGCGGTGTCTGTAGCTTTGAGTCCAACTGCCACGGCATGACTGCCTCGTTATTTCACTCAGGCTTTTCAACTTATTTTATCAGCCGGAACAGTGTTTTTCTCTCACAGTAAATCAATCGAAACAGTATTTTTATTTGTTTTTTCAGCGAAGGGAACATGGCCGATTGTTCAGCTCCAGGGTGTGCCATGGACGCCAAAACCTTCTCTGACGATCTGTTCTATCTCGGGAAGGCCCAGCCGAGCCAAACAGGATAGCACAGCCCATGAATTAATTATTAACTCAAGTTCATTTGCATAGGCTAAATACAAATATATTGCCTTTAACAAGGAAGTAATATAGGAATTTCTACATGCATGTTATCTTCAAGGTTACTTTTTATCCTTTTTTTTTGTCGTCGCTCGGACGACTCGGGGTGTGGCCCATAAGATCCATGGAGCCCGTCAGCAAAAAGAGATCCGAGTAAGCTACGTGGGCTGAGAATTATCAGCCCACTGTAGCCCACGGCCCGCGTAAAAAAGCCACATCGCTCCGTCGTCGGCCAGCGAAGTCCTTCAGTCGCCAGCGAAGTCCTACCCAGCCGCCGCCGCCGCCGCCTCTCCTGCCGTAGAGCCGTCGCGATGGCAGCAGCCCCTGCCGGTGCCCCCGCAATCACCGCCTCCTCCTCCCTTCTTTCTTCGCCGCCGTTCTCTCTCAAGTAGCCGACTCCTTTCCTTCTTCCCGTCGCAGCATGCGTGCTCTTTTTTCCCCACCGATGGATACGTCTAACTGTGACTCGCTTCCAGGGCATCGATGACTAGCCACCGCCGACCCGCGGGGAGAGTCTCCGTCAACATCCGCTGCGTCAGTAGCCCGCCGGCCGTCGACACATGTACTATTGGTTTCCTTCCAGTTCTTAGAAACTCATGTTTAAGCTCTAGACTCTTAGTTTTCGTTTTAGGCATCCAATCTAATGCTTCAGATGCTAGTTCGGAATCTGTGGTAGTATTCTTGGTTGTGATACCCTGTATTAACTTCTAGGTTTTTTTTTATAGTTCGAGGGCAGGATCGCCCCGGCCTTTCATTTTCATAAAAGACCAAAAACATTCTGTTACAGCACTGAGTTTAACAACTCCAAACCCCAGCACTCGCCGGCACCAGGGATAACCACTCAACATCCAAAGCGAGGAATAAAAGGAGCAGCAAAACTGAGTCTCAGAAAAAGCAAATTAGCAGAAAAGCAGACCACCCTACTCGAGCCAGAAACAACTCAGATTACCATTTCACCATCTCCAAAGCAGCGTCAAATGACCACCACCATGGTCCTGAAGACGACATTTCGCCCACCTCCATCTTCTCAGGTTGAGCAACAACCCATTTCAGGTCCCTGATAGCTTCGTCACCAGAGAACTTCAAGTGTCTTCCAGTGCTGTATAAGGGACCCAGAGCACAGTCCTCGCCGCAGCCTTGATTTTGTTCAGGAATTCCAGCAACTGCTCTTTCTTTTCTGGCGCGCATAAAACCACCCAGTTCTGAAGAAGCCCACCTATCCTGCAGAGTAGCATTTCCATGACTCCAGAAAACAAATTTCATTTCTGAGTTTCCATATACACCAAAGCACCACAGAGGTAATAATATTTAGCAAACCATGTTTCTTACTGCTAAGCCAAAATTTCCCTATTTAAACTAAGTAACCTCCCACTTTGATATTGAAAATCTCAGAAATCATTAACCAGCACTGTTTTGCAACTACACATTCAAACAGATGCTGCACAGATTCTTCTTCTGAAAAAAACAGACAGCACTGTACATTGTAACTTCTAGGGGTGTAATCGAATGGACGGATATTACCAATCTCATATTTGTTTTCATATTTCCTTTCGGATTCGTAGTCGGACACGTAAGGTAATGGATATACAACTACGAATGTCTCGATTACTATTACGAAAAAGTGTGTATCGAATACGGGACGAGTCAACTGTGAATAATGTCGGTAATAAATATTTCTTAGGATATTGGGTAAAAACAACATTCACTGCACTAATTTGATCACTCCATCGCAACATCTTTCTCGTGTGCCTCAATGTACAGTGTTCTTTGATTATAATCTAATAAGGGGACTAACAAAGGATTAAGGTTATAATCCATATCTAATGTGTGGGTCACAGAAGCAGCATAGGGTGCAGCAAGAAAACACCCAACGTCTGAGAATTCAGGTTGGGTGGCTGCTCTTTTATATAATTATAACTATTTATATGTTAGTCCTGGTATAATGTATAATATTTAAGTCTAAATGTTAGCCGGATATTGATTTGATATATCCGACTAAGTTGTCAGATATCGGATATAGGAGACGTATAATGGTTAAATCGTAGGTGTATTTGGTATCCACAATAAATAACCATATTTGTATTTGATATCCAAAGAAAATTGCTGATATCCAAATACTATCCGTACCTCTTCGGATGGATGGTCAATCGGGAAATATCCGTACCGTTTACACCCCTAGTAACTTCTTGTTTGGTCGATGTTGCATTCGTTTAAGGAGTTGCTTGAAGATGTTGTAGGAACAGAAATATGGATGTTGTTTGCTAATATTTTCTTTCTACTGTCCCGAAGCTTACAAGACTAATGTCCCGCGCAATGCTAACATGGCCAAACTCCAAGCAGGATATTTGTTTCCTGAGGTTACGCATCATTCCCATATCTTTACTGATGCTATTCTGTTGGAGATTTGGCTTATGATAGTATCAATTCTTGACTGTCGAGCAGATTGCCAGGAGAAGAGCAGCTCATTTGCTGAAGTATCCGGATGCCAAGATTATAAGCCTTGGGATAGGTGACACTACCGAGCCCATTCCAAATGTCATAACAAATGCAATGGCAGAGGTACATTCATGTCGAACTAGTGTCCTGTCAATCATATATATTCAACCCACAAAAAAATCCCAGTATTCCGGTACTTTCAGTTTTATAATTGAAAAAACACACATGCATTTGTTGCTGTTGAATATCTCTTTTACAATTACATTATTTTTTTATCTGTGTATTTGTAAACACAGAGAGCACATGCCTTGTCAACAATTGATGGCTACAGCGGTTATGGAGCTGAGCAAGGTGAAAAGGTACCTTGTGGCGTTATCAGCAATTTTCATTGCATTAACAGGCTAATTCAGATACTCATTTAACAGCTATTACTATATGAAGCTTTACATAAATATTTCATGGAGAAATCTGGATACAAAGATTGGTCGTCTTTTATTTAAAAATTATCTGAGGCAGATTGACGATCTGTTGATAAAAGGATAACTGTTTTTAACTTCTTACTGTTATGGTATCTGATTCTATAATTCTTAAGGGTTACTGTTTTCTAATGTATTACTTCTTAGTTTAAAGACCAATCACATACAATCCCTCTAATTAATTGATATGTTTCCTTCCACTTATCCTTTCAAATGCTTGCATAGTTGCACATTTGAACTACTTTGCTTACATGAATTAATTTTTAAGTTTTCAATCCTATTTGTAGTTTTCTCTTTGCTCTGTTCTTGTATAAGCTCCTTCAGCGTCATAAAATGTCGTGCTGATTGCTAATGCAGAAACTCAGAGCAGCAATTGCTGCAACCTATTATGCGGATCTTGGTATTGAAGATTCAGATATATTTGTCTCTGATGGTGCCAAATGTGACATATCTCGCTTGCAGGTACCAAAAAGATTTGACTCTTCCCTTATTAAGTTTACAATTCATTTTAAATTGTTTGTTAATAATTCTCCTGATTCAATATTACAGGTCCTTTTTGGATCTAATGCGACAATTGCGGTCCAAGATCCATCATACCCTGTAAGAGAACTCTTGAATTAATTGTAACTCCCAGTTACTTACACTTTCATATTAATGATTCTAAATTTATGTGTGATGATTGTAATTGTGATATGTTCTTTTGTCATATTGTTACTTTATGGATTAGCTGCTACCATTTTACATATTGTCTATTGAAACTAAAGGCCTACCCCAACTTGCTTGGGACTGAAAGGCTATGTTGTTGATGTTGTTGTATTGAAACTAAAGCAGGCCTTTCATTTTGACAGGCATATGTTGACTCAAGTGTTATCATGGGCCAAACTGACTTATATCAGCAAGATGTTCAGAAGTACGGAAACATTGAATACATGAGATGCAGTCCAGAAAATGGATTTTTTCCTGATCTGTCAACTGTCCCTCGGACAGATATTATTTTCTTTTGTTCACCCAACAATCCTACTGGTGCTGCTGCATCTCGGGAGCAACTAATCAAATTAGTAAAATTTGCAAAGGACAATGGGTCCATCATAGTCTATGATTCTGCTTATGCAATGTACATATCAGATGACAGCCCAAAGTCTATCTTTGAAATTCCTGGAGCAAAGGAGGTACGCTATATGTTCCAATATTTACTTGTTCATACTACATATTGGAGTGTTTAAAATGTCCTAGTTGCATGGTTATCCTCAAAATTACAGTGCCAGTGCTATGTTAATTAGTCGCACCATATTCCCCTTGTAAATAAAAGGGCACCTTTTCCATTGTGGTTTTGTTTATGTGCAGGTTGCTATTGAGACAGCTTCATTCTCGAAGTATGCTGGGTTCACTGGTGTCCGTCTAGGTTGGACTGTTGTCCCCAAGGAGCTCCTTTTCTCAGATGGACATCCAGTTGCTAAAGATTTCAATCGTATAGTTTGCACTTGCTTCAATGGTGCATCAAACATTGCGCAAGCTGGTGGTTTAGCTTGCCTCTCTCCAGAGGGTCTAAAGGTAGGATTCCTGGTTCTTGGAATTCTCAGATTGCTCTTCTGCATTGTATCTTTTATCCATTTGTTCCCGTGCAGGCTATGCATGATGTTGTTGGCTTCTACAAGGAGAACACTGAAATAATTGTTGACACATTTACATCACTTGGATTCAACGTGTATGGTGCCAAGAACGCTCCTTACGTATGGGTGCACTTCCCTGGCCGCAATTCGTGGGATGTGTTTGCTGAGATCCTGGAGAAGGTGAATGTGGTCACTACTCCTGGCAGTGGATTTGGACCCGGCGGTGAAGGCTTTGTGAGGGTCAGCGCATTCGGACACAGAGATAACATCATTGAAGCCGCAAGGAGATTAAAGCAGTTGTACAAGTGAGCACCGATGCAGCCTCTGTGCCCTCCTGGAAAGATGCTATCAATAAGAACACAGCAGCATTTGGGACACCAAAATTCGCTCAGTGAAGCTGCCAGAATATGTTAGAAGTGGAACATTTTTTTAGCATGATTCTTTTAGTAGGCTTTCGTGTGGTGTACTACATTCAAACCATTTCCAACTCTAGACAATGCTTGTTGTAGTCCTGAGACTCTTCAATCACTGTTGAAGTGTTTATCTCGTCTGTGTTCGTTTTTGTGTCCTGCTGTTGCTGTTTCGGAATACCGAATACCTATACGATGAGTCGACACGTTATACACGCAGAGTACACATAATCTGACTAAAAATATCTCAAATCGTTTCTTTGCATGTAAATAATTATTACTGGCAGTGGTACACCTGTACCTATGGAAGTTGACCACCTAGAGAAGAGGATTCATCGGAGTACGAGCTCTAATTACCCGGCATGGAGGGAAGCGAATCGTTGACTTCGTAGGATCAGTTTTGTAATTTTCCTGACACAGGATGCTGAAGAATCATATAGATTCCAGATCCATATGCAATTCTGCAGCGATGTTGTTCACACTACGCAGATGCCTAATTCTGCTGGGATCCAGCAGAAGGCAGCATAATAGGCAAGCTTATTGCCCGGTAAAGGAAAGACCATACAAATCTATCTCCAGTTATTTGCACAACCCACATCAGCATTGGCAGTGATTCCATCGACAGCAGCAATCAATTTTGAAACCAAGGGGAAAAAAAAAGGTTCTGGACCCCAGTGCTTTCCAGAATGTCACTACATTGACTACAACCAGTCAGAAACGCTGTTAAGGTAAACTCGTCACGATGGTAATGGAAGCTTGCAATACAAAAGTCAGCATAACAGTATTTCTAGAAGAACATAATCTTGCCCAGCATGATAACAAAATGCATCCTAGCAAGCTTTTGTTTCTTCATGTTTACCGCAGTTTACATCAACATTGAGTACAAAAAGAACTGTACGCAACACAAAATATTCAACAATGGTGAGATGCCTTAACCCAGTTACAAAGCATCCATCAACCAAGAACCAAGTTCACATAACTCCACAGTTAGCCATCAATGTCAACGGAAGATGTTATCAACAAGGACAACATAATTGGCTCAATGGTGGATAGCATCAAGCTCGCTTAAATACCTTATATTGGACAAGTTAAAGACGAAGCAAAGGACAAATCATGACAATGGAAACTGAAAGTAACTCCCGCCTATGCATAATATATATATATTTTTTGAGAAATTTGAGCTTGTATATATACCAAAACTATATCTAGCAACCCAACAGCTACTAATAACAAGGCAAATAAGAGAGCAAAATAATTGGCTCATATTTAGAGACAAGTTAAAGACGAAGCAAAAAAATTTATTTCGACAAATCATGACAATGGAAACTGAAAGTAACTCCCGCCTATGCATATGATTTTTTAATATATATATATATATAATTTTTATATGAAAATTATAGAGAAATTTGAGCTTGTTTTGATATATACCAAAAAGATATCTAGCGAAATTAACCCAACAGCTACTAAAATAAGTGGCAGGAAAGAAGAGAGCAAAATAATTGGCTCACAAGATATGTTATCCTCCTACCTGTCGAAGAAGACACCAATGTCACAAGAATAATTCCTTTTGAGGCTTGATTTAAGGACACCTACATGGTACTGGAACACTTATAAATCCCCGCAATAAGAGAAAAACAGGAAACACTATTGAAACCTATCATGGGACCAATAACTTGAGTTCATCCATTAACTCATTTCTAAGAGTGTAAGACATAACTTATGCCAATAAATAAACATAACATCATTCTCCTAACACCTAACATTACAAAGATATCCATCCCATGACCCCAACCCAAACTTCTGTTGTCACCCGATTCTACAAAAAGAACACTTTGGATTTAGACCCAACAGATTCTAGAACGAACCAACAAAATAACAAGTGGAATTGTACTCTAATGATCATGTGGAAGTCTTCACAGCCTTGAATGCTGGATGAAGCAACCCAAGCTCATCCTTTGTCTCAAGCGGGTTGCTGGTCTCGTTCCTGATCCTCTTCACTCTCCTGCTTGCTAGTGACTTGTGTGTGAACCCATACATCTGCAAGATCTGGTTATCCCCAAAATTGAACGCACGGTCCATATTCTTGAGGCATCGCTCGACAGGGTAGTCTCCAAATTTGCCACATGGCTTGCACCCGACAAAGTGTGTGACAAGCGGCCACCGGTGGTCGCCGAGCCCTGGCTTGTAATTCTCAAGCATCTCCTCATACCTGTCGACCAAGATCCCCCAGTAGCCGTGAAGGTAGTACCCATTCTCAAGGTAAACCTTATCACCCCATTTCTCGCGCTGCGTTGCGAGGATGTACACCATGGCCGACTGATCATCGGCCTCGAATACTGGCCGATCCTTCAAGGACTTGGTCAGCACCTTGCCGGCCTCAATGCGGACAGGACCCTTTGGCCCCATTGGCGCCCAGGTATCCAGCATGTCAAGCGACCACTGGCAGTTGCGCAGCAAGAAGCTGCCGGTGTTGAGCCCAATCCAATTCTTGTCCTCGTAGACCATCTCGTCCCAGCCGTGCATGATCAGGTTGTACGGCCCGTAGCGCTCCCATGGGAGCTCGAATGCCATGTCGGTGAACATGGCGTCAGAGTCCATCCACCAGATGAACTCTACCTCCGGGTGCGCGAGGAGCAGCGCCCGCAGGAGCGGGAGTTTGGCCCAGAAGCCGGCCATCTCGGCGTCGAGCAGCGCCATGTTGTAGAAGACCTCGATGCCGTGGACGCGGCAGTAATCCATCTTGTTCTTGATGGACTTGAGGAGGTAGTGGTCACCAACGGGGTTCTCGCAGGGCTTGGGCGAGGACCCCGTGACGAGCAGCACCCGCGGCTTGATGTCGTTGAGGAAGGGCGGCGTCTCCGGGTGGCGGCGGTGCCAGGCGGCGCGCTGCTCGTCCCAATCGGAGATCTTGGGGCCCAGCGTGTAGGGCGGGTCCCTGAGCGACCTCGGCGGCGGGTCGGGCTCGTCGTCGCGGCGGCCGGAGGAGGAGGACGACGTGGTGGTGGTGGTGGAGGCCCTAGACCTGGCGTCGTGGTGCTCGGCGAGCGCCCGGTGCGGGTGGGAGACGAAGTGCTGGCGGAGCTCGATGAGGTCCTGCTGCGGCGTGCCGAAGCGGCCGGCGCCGACGGTGCCGCGGAGCACGACGACGGTGAGGAGGAGGCAGACGACGGTGAGCTTGGCGTTCCGCGCGAAGCGCTGGATCTGCCGCATCCGGCGCTCCCCGACCACCCGCTCCGCCCACATTTTGGCCCTCCGATCAAACTCTCCCCCTCCCCTCCTTGCAGCCAACCCAAACCAAACGCAGGGGGAGGGAATCGAAATGCAATAGCCAAGAGGGGCCCTAGCCGGACACGGTGCGGCGGCGAGCAATGCGGCCGCCGCGGGGCTGGGGAGAGTGGTAGAGAGGGACGAGGCAGAGGAGGTTTTGAAGCGCGGACGCGGAAGAGGAATTAATAAGGGTGGGGTGACGGTGAGTGGGCCGGCCCGCCCGCGAGTGAGCGCGCACGTTGTGGGGAGGGTCAGGGAGGCGCCTCGGGGAGCGGATTGCGTTGGCTGTCTGGGGGGAGGTGGGCGATGGATGGGGAAGGGAATCGAAATCAAATCAACCCCGCTGCAGATGGGGGGAGAAGGGGGAGGGAAGGGAGGAAGAAGAAGAAGGCGAGGTGGAATGAGGCGGAGCGCAGAACGACGCGGACACGAGATGCGATGCTTCTAGGACACCTTTTTCACCCCCCGCTGTCGCCTGCCTCAACACGGTTGGTTAATTAAGGAATTGATCGCTGTTTACCTTCTGGTTTTGCCTTCATGCGGTGGGTCCACGGAGAGTGGGCCCGGGGGGAGCGTGTCTGGAGTACAGAGAGCGTCGAGGTGTCGGTTAATTTGCTCGGGTTATTATTTAATAATCGGTTGATTTCCGTCATGACGAGGCATGGAAAGAACTCAAGAGTTTGCAGGTTGATTGATGGGTGTCGGGTTTTGACTTTTGATGAAGCGTGCAGCATTTTACCGTGTGACTTGTCAGAACTCAGAACCAGTCGGGGGCATTTTACCGTGTACTAATTTCGTAGTACTACTAGGTGTAAACTTGATGAAAAAAGAGCACTTGCGTTTGCAGGCATGGATGGCGATGGCGTTCATGATGGAATCGTCAAAATTTAAAAAAGTAACGTGCTTTTTTTATACGTTTACAACAGTTAAAAAATTTAATGTTGTAGTGAGCATGGGTGTAAACATGGATGAAAACGATTTGCTGTGATGGATGGAGACGCGATTGATGATGGAATCGTCAAAGCTCAAAAGTAACGTGCTTAGGAGTACGTTTACAAGAGTTAAAAGATGTTGTAGTGAGCATGGGTTTTGCATGGAAAACGATTTGCTGTGATGGAGACGCGCTTGACGGAGAAAGGGGACCCGTTTAAAGCCGTGCAGTCAAAACAGGTGAGTACAGGGCGTGGGCGGCCATCGCTATTCGCTCGCTACTCGCGGTGGCAGCCAGTTGTAGACAGGCCAGAGAAGCAGATTGCCTGCACATGACGCGGTGACTTTTTCTCTAACGTCGAATAACAGTATAATACAATCTGAGGTGGAGAGAAGAAAAGAGGATAAAACAGACGGTTTAAAAACAAGAATTGAGAAACTTTACGAGAGAGACAAGTGAACCATATATTAACAATGAAGATCTCACTATTATATAGGTGAGTAAAAAATAACTACAAATATCCTTACAGCCGATCCGTCGGCTTTATTACTAGCCTCGCTCTAATGACAAATCTATCCGCGTCTCAACCGAGGCCCACATCCTTCGGCACCCCGCTCCACGATAAACTTCCTCTCCACTCATCCCGCCGACATGTGGGTCTCCATGCCAACCTAGTCCCACTTGTCACTGGGGAGCAGAGTGCGTGTTCTTTGCAGTACGTACAGAGTGATCTGGGCGTGTCGGTCGTGGAGCTTTCGTTCACTGCTCGTCAATTTGCTTAACGGTGATGCGACGGCGAGCAATTAAGGGACAACCATGGTTTAGTACTCGCCATTAGGGGTTGCCTATGTCGGCAGATTGGAGTTGCTACAGTCCCATAGTCCATTTGTTTATGCGTTTTGGATTTGGGAAGGTGTGAGCGGCGAAAATTGTATATCCCCTAGGCACGTGACATCACCACCTTGGATTGGCTTCGCTAGTTCGCTGAGCTATAGTGTATCTACGCGTTTCTAATGTACGAGAGGCCTCTGATTTTCCATTAACAGAAAAAAAAATAAATTCATCGTTTGTCTCAGACATTGCACGGCAGCCAACTCTGGAATTTTGATACTTAGATCCTTCTATATCTGCACAGGGTATCATTTGGGTCCCTAATTCTGGAATGTTAATAATTGAGTTCCCATCTTGTATAATGATATCACCGCATGGAACAGGTCACATCACGTTTAGATCTGTGTGGACTAATGTTGGCTTACAGGACAAGTTTTGGGGTAGAATAAAGACACCACCGTATAATTTTAGGAACCCAAATATTAAAATTCAAGAGTTAAGGAATTAGACGAAAGAATATAATTCTCGTTTTTCGAGAAGTCAAATAGTTTGAACTTTAACTAAATTTATGTAAAAATATACTAACATTTATGATACAAAATAAGCACCATTAGATTAGTTATAGAATATATTTTCTTAATAAATTTATTTAAAAATATAAATATTAATACTATTTACTATAAACTTGATCAAGTAAGTCAATTTGACTGGCACACATCCCATACTTGCATTCTTTTGGGGACGGAGGGAGTACCGCCGATTAAGTATGGCACTCAAATATCAAAATTCAAGAGTTAAAAGACTCAAGTAATACCGCTACGCAAGTTTAAATACTGTTTTACTCAAAAGAAAATAAGATGGTTTCAGCCTTTAGGTTCATTAGCATATCTCTTTCTCTGGCCCCCTCCGCATGGTAACCAGTAGTAAAAATCAAGTCCAGTCTGGAACGTGTGATTCTCGTAGCAATTTGGGTCGAAAACCTCACGCTAGTCAAGGTTTCCAATGCTACCAGTACTATGGAATTCGTGGACGTCTTCTATAGAATCTACTATTTGTTACAGTGATACGCGGCAATGCAGATCTGCTCTGCCCAGGGAAAATCTGGCGATGCGTCGGTCTGTCTCTCTGAGCTCTACTACTCTTTCGTTCAGCGGGGATTTGACTCTTGATTAGAGATGATTATATGTTATACTAATATGAGATGATTATATGTTATATAAAGTGCATCCTACCGCCGGTCGCCGTCACCGAGGCGCCAGTGCCGCCCAGAAACTTGCACGTACCCAAGCGGCCAAGGCCGATCTCCATCTCCATTTCTTTATCGCGGTTTCTTTACTCGGGCCGGCCACTTGCCGGACCATGCCGCGGCGCTGGTACATGATGACAGCAGAAAACAAAAAAGATATACTACAGCCAGTGGATCCGAGATTTCTCAGAGCTGAGGCCCGAGAGAGATCTTTCCGGCCGACTGATTGATGCTTTCCGTGCCCCGCTTGCCCGCCAGGTGTGCCTACTCGCGTGCGCCGCATCAGTGCCATGCGACCCCAAAGCAGATCGCCATTTCGCCACCACGCCTTCCGCGGGGATCAGCAGCGGGCAGGCGTGAGCATGTAGCGTAGCGATCTTCCTTTTTGTTTGGCTGCCGGCATGAGACGACGACGGCTCGGGGGCGGCGGTTCCGCGTCTTCTTCCGGCTGCCCCGTTTTTTATCCTCAAAAGGCCGGGCACCGACAGGTTGTATCTGATTTCCGGTGCGCGACCGAGCCTGAGCTGCCTGACCGTCCATGCACGCCGGCTGGGTCGTGCGAGGGACACCGGCACCACGCCGTACCCAGTTATCCACCAAAGGAAGACCGAGACGTGCGTGCGTCAATCGAACAACAACCGCGGTGTTACATGCTGCAAGTGGCAGCGTTGTGTACGGCGTCGTCGAATCGACAAAACTGCACATGGATATTGGCAACTGACATTCCACGCGTAAAGGGCCCAGGACGAAGAGCGCGCTCGCGGGCTGGTAAACACCACTGGAAGATAAACACATACCCTAATTTAAAATCGAAACTATATCAAAACTTTGGCCAATGAACCATCGTAGGAAATGTTTATATGCATGTGAGCACCTTCTGAGACTACGGGAACAAAAATATTTGGTTTCACCCATCAGAAAAAGAGCATACCAAGGATATTTTTTGATAGAGAAGAAAAAACCCCAAAGATATTTAGTGATAATGTGAACGCTATTAAACCGCACATGGTGGCCACCACAAAAATGGAAGCATATGCAACTATTTGACATCACGTCTACATTGGCCCTGGGGTAGTGCCTAAATGGACCAAAGATGCAACGAGCACCAAGCATTGGGTTTCTGCCTGTCTGGGACCACAGTCGGAAGATGCTTAACTCCGCACGACCACCTGGAAACATTGAAGCCACTCCCTATCACCAAAATTCTAGTACCAAAAGAAGGTACCCCTCCATCCCAAATTTAAGACGTTTGACTTTTTTGGCCCCAAGTTTGACCACTCGTCTTATTCAAAAAATTTGTATAAATATAGTCAAATTTAAGTCATTATTGAAGAATTTTTATTAATAAACCAAACCACGACGAAAGAAGTGATATTTTACACAAATTTTTGAATAAGACGAGTGGTCAAACTTGGTGTCAAAAAAGTCAAACGTCTTACAATTTGGGATGGATTGAGTACGTACTTGCAGATGATTCCTGTCAACTCCCTAGCCACACAAGAAAGCATAACAGAAGTTAGTAAAGGCTCTTTGGTAATGCAGGTCAACATGGTTAGAGATTTAAGATCAATGCTTTATATTTGGTCCTGGTGTAACGCAGGGTCAACATGGCCAAAGGTCTAATACTGCATTTGTATTTTGATCTAGCTGAGGATTGAACAGACTAGAGACTAACCAGGATTTCTCCCAGCCCTAGGTACAACCAAACTATCACCTGGGTATGAAAGGGTCGCATGAGTATTTCCATAAAGGAGAAACAATATATGACCTAATCACCCAAAGCAACTTAATCACAGAGTGGCCCACCTAGGATTGAACAGGCAACCAGTCAACTATGCTATATAGTTTGGTTTTGAAATTGTCTTGTGATGTACTAGGTGATTATTCTTGGGAATTTTTCTAAACTTCTCAGCCACATTTCACGATTCCTTTTTTACCTGACTCACACTTCCACTTGATGCGGCACAA